CCCCCCCCCCCCCCGCCCCCCCATTCAGACCCTCTGTTTAGGATTAGGAAACTTAGTGAATTAAGTTTCAGGTCTGTTTTCCAAGTTTAATTGCCCTAAATGGAACCTGACTCGATCAGTTTCCTAACCCTAATCACTAAACTCAGAGTCATTCGGCGTTCTGTATTCGGCTTTCTGCAGAATACCTCTGCCGGTAGGGAAATCTGTCATTGAGGTCTGTAATTACCAAAATGAGCAAAGAGACAAGAAAATCATAATGTAACACAATTATTGAATTCAGCTTATGTATGATAAGAAGAATTGTACATATCTCGGAGGTTGTTATCCGCCCGCCTCGACCGAGAACACCCTCCTCGATCAGCATTATCCATTTTCCCTGAGCAGACTGAAACTAACGTTTACTTTACAACGTACTTTACGCAACGTTCGAGTGGGAAAAGACACCAGATGGCTACGGTATTTTCTCAATTAAACGCCGCCCTCATAAATACGCCGTAGATAAAAAAATACTAATAACTGCGGTCCCCGAATAAACGCCGCAGATGAAAGAATGCTGCCAACCTCGTTCCCAAGGGTCTTTCTCGCCTTGGAATGCAGCAGGGGGCATTCGCCGCTTTAGAAGCGAAAAGGTACCTGAAGCCGAAATGCGCCCGCTATTGTTTCTTGGATCGTTAATGGGAACGCGCCGGTTAGCCCATGAGGCCAAAGGCTGAATGGGCTATTGACTCGGAGGCCATGAGAGCGAGAGGAATAATTGTTTTAGTAAAATCCAACTAGTTGGTCAAAAATATCGAGATAAAACAACTTTAGCTAGCAGAACGCAATTCACCCGCCATTGGTTTGGTTTTCAAAGCCGGCTCTTTTCGCTACTAGCGGGGAATAACATATAGGCTAGTAGTAGCTCAACCAATCAGAACGCAGCATTGATAATAGAGCACTAGTTGGATTTTACTAATAGCCAATAGCGCTGCGCGCAGTTACTATTTATAGACCCGAAACTCAGACAAACAAACGGAAATTAACATTAGCGAATTCCTCACTTTTGTCTGACTCTTGTCATTAAACTAAGAAAAATGGCAAAACTCAGACAAAAATTGCAAATTAGTCACTTTGACGTCATTTGCGCGCTGCGCTATTTTTTTCCCCTGTTGTTAGTAACAGCCCCAGTAGCCTGCGTGGCAGACGTTTGAAAGGGATGGAAAAGGGAGTTTTAGGCGCGAGAGAAACGCGAGGGGGCGCGCGAGGAGGGAGGAAAGAAAACCCGTTCCCCTCCTCCCTCCTCCCTCGCGCGTGGTCTCGCGCCCTAATTCCCTTCACCTTCCCTTTCGAACGCCTGCCACGCAGGCTACAGTCCCAGAAGTCTTTGCGAAAGTTTGCTCCACCCAGTTATCTTCCCGGTTCTAAAGTTGTAACATTGGAACTTTAAACATCTTTCTCTTTTGCATAGAATTTACAAATGATTAAAAGTAACTGTAATCAGTGATGTAAGGAATGAGATCAGTCTTGAAATAAACGCTGCCTTTCGCATTAGAAATCCTTAAAATTTGATAAACACCGCGGCGTGTAATCGACTAAGATAGACCAAATATTTAAAGTTAACCTCCTGCGTTGTCCATTTTTTTCCAATTGCAATCCGTTTCCATCCTGGGCATCAAAACTCAAAAATGTGCGCATATATTACAGTTGACCCTTTCTCAAGTACAAGTACCAGGAGGCTCTGGGGACACAGGATTTGAAGTCCTAGATTTGACGACTTTTGGTCATTTCTGATTTTTTACAATGTTTCTAATAGCGGTCACTTGCTCTTGCCCAAGTGTCATCAACTGTAAATTTGGGTCGGAAGATATTATAATTATGCAAAACAAATAAAAAATTAGGGAAATAAGAGGGAAAAAACTTGGTTACATAGAATCATACTGGCTGATCGACTGAAGCGATTATTCTCACGTCTTCATCAAAACAATACCATAAGTGCGCATGACACCATTAGCAGGACGCTGACCGCGGGAACGAGGCTAGTGTTGCAGAGATCTCCTTCACAGCAACTCGATTCACATTTCTCTCCGCTGGCTTCTTTACATACACTTTTTCGCGCTTCCGATTCGCAGTAGGCTTTGGACTTACATCCTTTTGTGTGCGTTTTAATGTCAGTGGCGATTTTATACTCGTATGACTCTTTTGCACAGCGCGGATCAATCAAAGATGAACTGCAGTTTACTTTATCCTGGGCGGCTTGACACTCGTCCATGCTTTTAACACTGGCACAACTGTAACATTTGAGCCCAAAAGCTGAAAAAAAAAATGTCATGGCATCAAATGATATCTCTTTGATAGCGATGAAACCCAGAACAAGACTTTATATAATAATAATAATAATAATAATAATAATAATAATAATGATGATGATGATGATGATGATGATGATGATGATGATGATGATGATGATGATGATGATGATGATAATAATAATAATAGCCTTTATCATTCGTTGCAAACTTTTCTTCCTTTTCATTGGCAGAGAGCACATTACTGCCAACGAACGGACGCAGCAACTCCCCCCAACATTGTTAGCTCAGCAATGTTGGGAGTTGTTGCGTCCGTTTGCATGTAGCTTTAGGCCTTGCCTGGTCCAAACGTCGAATTTTTCATGAGACGAACCAAACTTAGTGAATTAAGTCCAGGAAACGTTCGACGTCTGGCTCAGTTGGGTTCGTCTGAAAGAGTTTGGATCGTCCAACACGTTCTATCCTTCCAACCTCGTTCCCAGGGTTCTCTCCTACCCGCCCCCATGGGTAGGCGGAAGGGGCTATCCTTCTGCTTCAGGCGGATAGAACGTCCGAAGATCGTCTCCGGGACAAACGGTCGATCTCCACATGCGAAGGAGTAAACTAACAAATGAAAAATTTGTTTGATAATTTATACTTGTTTGAGCCAGAAGAAAATTCATTAAAATTGTTTTTTGTTACGATACAGCTTATTGGTTTGACGCGTCCTAACGCGATCTTAACTAAAATAAGATCGAGCCAAATTAGAGTTTGGTCGTTTGGCCTAAGCCTTACATAATTTTTTCGCAAATTCTTCTGGCCTTTTGATGAATGGCCTTCGTTTGGAGAGGGTTGAAAAATCTCATTTTCCATCTTTGCTCAAGTAATATATCTCTTCTGTGAACAATAAAATTATAGACGACACCCTGAATTGCAAGTGCTACAAAAAAGACATTCTGACGCTGTGTTCACTTAATATCTGATAACTTTTCGAGGCGTGGTACAGTATGAACAGCAACTGCCCAGGGCAGCCCAATCGGACCTCGTGCCGGCGCAGTTGGATGAGAGGGTTTGGTGCACTAAATTCAAGTCCTCACTCTTAATTCACTTCCTTCTCAGTGGGTTCCAGTCCTCGCACCTGCCTATTTACTTCCGCTGACGGGCCGAATAGGTGTTCACACTACACCAAAGTTCCTTTTTCGAGATCGGGGCGGCGTAGCCTCGGCGTTCCGTGACAGAAATCGCGCCGCCATCCGGTATGATTTTCGTGGCGGTGCAAAAGCTATTCGGTATAGTGCCGGAGCGGGCAGCTTTTGTTTGCAGTAAGTTAGATAATTCCCAAGGGTAATTTTTACTGTCTAATCAAAGCTGGTAACACCTTGTCCTACCTTCAGTCACGAATTTAGTTTCAAGAAAGCAAATCATGAGATCAAGCTTTGGTCGTACTATTTTCAAGTCGAAGAAGTAGAACTTTACGTGTTTTTCGTCCTGGGAACAAGCATAATTATAAAACCTCTTGAACTTTGTCTTGCTTTAATGTAGAGACCAGGGTGTTTAACACAATAAAACAACCCAATATGAATACTGTAGAACAATATAACGGTCTGTCGCCGTCAAAGCCTTTGTTACCGAATTCGTTAGCACCAGATCTAACCAGCAAACTTGCACTTGAAAAACGTTGCTCGCTCTTATTCTTCAGCGTTTATTTTTCAACGTTTAACTCGCAGAAAGACCGCCGCCTCGAAAACCTAGATGGAACCTCGATATGACGAACCTATCATAACGATGCCCTCGGTATAACAAACGATATTCTTCGCCCCAGTAATAGCAAATTACATGGAAAAGAACTAATAACGAAAGCCTCGATGTAGCGAAAATATTTCGTCAACCCAATGGCCCTTCGTTATAACGAAGTTGACTTGACAGAAACCGGAAACCGCACATAAAAAGTCTCTGGTATCGCGAGGGTACCAGTCTAAAAAACAACAAAAATGATCAGAGTCGATAGAATCGATCAGCTCTGATATAGATACAAATTACTGGCTTTACAAAACTGATCCAAAAGCTATTTGCATAACTACAGAATAAAGGAAGACTCTTTTAGAATTATATATTGTACTTTCGAGTGAAAGGGTTGCTCGTCAGTGAGACTGATAAAAGTACATAAAATGACTATATAAACCAGCAAGTGGCTCGGAGACTCGGCAGTCCCAACTAGAGAGTCACTAAAATATTGAACTTTCTCGGTCTTCGATCAGTTACCTCGACTGACGAGCCACCGAGCCATGCACCGTATTATCTAACACTTTATATAGTTAAATATTTGTCTTTGTCTTTTTTTTAACATTCGTCATGAGCTGCGAGCCACTTCTGTGAAATCCTTACAATTTGGCCCTGCATCCTGTAATTTTTGTAGTTGCCCAGTTTGTAATAATCATAATACACTTATATTGTGAAAGGTTTGAACTCAGGAGTCACTGTTTCATAAGTAGGTTGAATATGATCGTCCGGGTGAACGAAGTCCTGAATAGGACATTGTATTACCGACGGACGGAGTAANTAACAAACGATATTCTTCGCCCCAGTAATAGCAAATTACATGGAAAAGAACTAATAACGAAAGCCTCGATGTAGCGAAAATATTTCGTCAACCCAATGGCCCTTCGTTATAACGAAGTTGACTTGACAGAAACCGGAAACCGCACATAAAAAGTCTCTGGTATCGCGAGGGTACCAGTCTAAAAAACAACAAAAATGATCAGAGTCGATAGAATCGATCAGCTCTGATATAGATACAAATTACTGGCTTTACAAAACTGATCCAAAAGCTATTTGCATAACTACAGAATAAAGGAAGACTCTTTTAGAATTATATATTGTACTTTCGAGTGAAAGGGTTGCTCGTCAGTGAGACTGATAAAAGTACATAAAATGACTATATAAACCAGCAAGTGGCTCGGAGACTCGGCAGTCCCAACTAGAGAGTCACTAAAATATTGAACTTTCTCGGTCTTCGATCAGTTACCTCGACTGACGAGCCACCGAGCCATGCACCGTATTATCTAACACTTTATATAGTTAAATATTTGTCTTTGTCTTTTTTTTAACATTCGTCATGAGCTGCGAGCCACTTCTGTGAAATCCTTACAATTTGGCCCTGCATCCTGTAATTTTTGTAGTTGCCCAGTTTGTAATAATCATAATACACTTATATTGTGAAAGGTTTGAACTCAGGAGTCACTGTTTCATAAGTAGGTTGAATATGATCGTCCGGGTGAACGAAGTCCTGAATAGGACATTGTATTACCGACGGACGGAGTAACTGTCTGGGATTGGACCTACCTACAGACACACAGGCCATCAGGACTGCTGCAAATAGCATCTTCATATCGTAGGATGTTTAAAAAGAACTGGATCAGGAACCAAAGAATTATCAGGAGCTCTAAATGTCGGAGAAAGAAGGTTCGGCTACAATGATCGATTTAGGCATCAGTTTAATATTAGTTAAAAATCACGTGGTGTTTCCCTGGAGATTTATCCGTTTTCCTCTTTATGGGGGCCTGCGGAGAAGTTTACACCGTGTAGAACGAAATTTTTGCGGGTTCTAATTTTTGCGATTTTTGCGATTTTTCCAGCGATCCGCAAAAATAGGTTCCGGCAAATAAAAATTACCTCAAACATTTTTCCCGCAAAAATTTATTATTACTCCAATGTTACTCCACAGTAAATTTTCTCTAACTTAAATCACTGGTAGTAGCCCAGGCTCGAAATATGAACATCGGCGAACATCGGCATTGTATCATAACATTCGAAATATAAGGATTTGTATGGGAAAAAAACCTATTTTCTCTGTAACCTACGAAAATGAAAGGATTTCAATAAGAAATAGCTTACCTTACTTAAAATGTGTGTTACGTCTCTCCTGTGTGGTCCACGGGCCGATTTATGGCCGTTTTATGGTTATTTATGTTTTCTCCCTATATAAAGGTTTACCGAAGCGACACAACCAAGGTCTCTTTTATTGAAAACTAGGCTCGAAAGATATTTGGAATTTTGGACCAGAATCATGGGCCACTTTGGAATTATGCAAATTTTTCAACTACAGTAAATTGATATTTTCATGGTCTAAAAAGCCTCCTTTTAAGAAAAAAACATCATCAAACGACAAAACCAAGGTCTCTTTTACAGAAAAGGAGGCTCAAAAGATATTTGGAATTTTTCGACCGTCGTGAAATGTGATTATTAGCGTCTAAAAAGCCTCCTTTTGAGAAAAGAATATAAAACGACAAAACCAAGGTCTCTTTTACAGAAAACTAGGCTTGACAGATATTTAGAATTTTGAACAAGAATCATAGGTTAACCCCTTTAAAAATATGGAAATGTTTCAACTATATTAATATGACATTTCTATCCTCTAAACTAGCCTCCTTTTGAGAAAACAACATCATCAAACAGGCTCGAATAATATTTGGAATTTTTGACCAGAATCACAAGTAAGCAAGTATGGATCGAAACTACGGCGTATGAACCTTTCATACACGTTTTTAAGCATGGAAAGTGCTATGAGGTTACATTGTCCTTCCAACTTGCTGTCTTTTATGGATATTACCCATTTTTCACGACTGACTTCTTATCGTTGTACTGCTGAGAAAACTCCTTATATTATGATTAGCGGAGCTCCACGCGGGCGCGAAGCTTGCGCTTGCGGAGCCCCATGCAAAGCTAAGTTAATCTACCCATCTAAGAAAATTTGGTAATCACGTGACCGTTCACGGTTCGACCGAGCGACTAAGCGACCGTCCGTCCGCACCACAGGTATATATACCAATGTAAAATAACTCAATCAACATACAGGTATGGCAACTTGAAGTTATTTTGGCGGGAAATGGCATAGCCACCCTCGTCTTGTGAAGCAGAGACAACGAAAGAATCTAAAAAGACGAAAACGGAAAGCGGAAATTGTTTCTGTATGGGTGTTGTCAGGCCGGAGCTCCTGGTGTTGTCTAAAGTATTAAGCTTAGATTAATTGTCATGTCCACAAATTTGAAATACAGTGAGAGACAGAGAAAAAACGGTGAAAAGAGAAAGTGGGCGACATGCCAGCGAAACTTAAGGAGAAAATGAGCAACAGACTGCTACAGCGAGCGATAAAAGACAAAGGAGAGATTTTCTTGTTGGAAGAACAACGTGAAAATTTTGTAACGGCGGTTGAGAAAATGAGAAATGCTAGCGGCCTTCTAGCGGCCACCAAGGTGAAAATGGGCGGCAGTCAAAAAATGAACAAGAACACGTACGATCATTTCCTCCACAAAACGTAGAACCGGGAAGTTTCCTGTTGTAGTCGTGCAAAACAACGGCAAAGAAATGCACAAAAAAGTGTGCTGCACGTGCAAAGTTGCTTTTTTGATAATTAGACCTATTGTTGTTGTTCCGTTCTCGTTTCCTTCGCCGCTTAGCATTACACGATTATATATTTTGTTTAGCAAACTATACTGGAATATTATCGAGAGCTTCGCTTTTTGCCCTGGCTAAATCTACGTATTATTATTATTATTATTCATTATTATCAAGAAAACTATAACGAAACTCTTGTTTTTTCTTAAATCCTTAGACCCGGTTCAGTCGCCGCTCCACTCATGTGCCGAACCTAACTGATGAATTAAGTATGGTAAAGGAGCGGCGTCTGAATCAGTTTAGTACAGCAGTGTTAGTTTGATGCGGCAAAAGCGTTAAGTTCGACAGAGTCTGTCAAACGTTTGGCGAACTTTACGTAGGCACGACACACGGTGCGCAGTCTGGATCAGATGTCGCGCCAGTGTCGATCCAAAGTCGAACTTATTCAGTTAGGTTCAACACCTGTAGCAACATCAAAATATAGGATGAGAAAAAAAAATTGAAACTTTAAATTCGGTAAATCGACATAAAAGGAAACTTTTACATGTCTCTAAAACTGATCGTGTTTTGTGGCAACTCCTCACCGCCTCACCTCACCCCTCCCCTAACATCTGCCTAAGTTTTTACCGAGTGGAGCTTGGGGACCAGGGGAAACCAAGATGGCGCCTTATAATGGCGCCCTTGTCCTACTAACTTCAAATGAAAGCACGAATTCTGTCAGAACGCAGCTTGGTCTTTCAGTTCAGTGGCTGATTATTTTGTTTATCATTTAAATGTGATAAAAAGAAGGTACTTTATTTGCAACAAGAAGGTTTATGAGCATTGATCTTGCACGCTCATGGAGAGTTTTGATCATGGTACAGGTAAGATATGACTGTTTAAGCTTACAGTGCAATTTTAGAGCTAAGGAAACTACATAGGAGTAGCTTAGATAAGAATGTTAACTTGGCTACTGTCAGAATGGCTTGGATGAAGAGGGGTCAGCCAGGGAGGGGTGGACAAACAAAATGTTTTTTTTTATAATTTAAATTTTTTTCAAGTCACGTGCCCAATTACATGTACAGAGATTGCAACCCCTTTTGGAGGAAAATAGGGAGTATTTTTTTAGCGCCAAAAGCACTCACACAAGTTCCTAAGGTACAAGCCTCTAGCGAGGTCTGGGGATATGGTCTCCCATGAAACCATGAAATTTTGCAAATTTAGTTTCTCCTCAAGTCATTGTGTCAAGTGGCAGTTCCTGCATTTCCACACTATTTTGGTGGTATTCTATAAGGTCTTTATTATTATCACAGATGTCTTTGGGCTTTTCTTTGCTGTTGTTAATCCACTGTTCAGAAACAGGGAGATTTCTTTTACTGTTTTTACACCATGGCCACTTTGAAAAATCATTATAAACTTAATGTGCTCAAGGCATAAATTATGCATTCAGCGGAAGGCAGTACTGGTATGGGCTCTGTTATACTTAGTACTCTCTTTGCAGACACTCTTAACCTTCCGTATAGACTACTGGCCTTATGAGTCTGCAAAAAACGGGGTGTTCAATGAAGAGACTGGATGAGACATTATAGGAAAGAAAAGTGTAATACGTAATGTTTTACACTTAGATCTCAAAAACAATACTTAAGATAAGCAATTTTTCCGTTTTTTCAGAGGTTAATGATAAATAGGTAGAATCTGATAAAAACTGGGAGAGCTGGAGATGACAAATCAAATCAAGAGGGTTGGAATCTCTGAATGCAGCTAGTGCAGGCAGAAATGGCAAGCTACGGTGTGGTTTATTTTTTCTCTATTCTTGCATGGCCTTCATCCTTTTACCCCTAACAGGAGGCAGCCTGGCCAAGTGGTCAGCGCGTCAGACTCATGATCTAGCAGTGGTGGGTTCGAGTCTTGCTCTTGCTGGATTTGTTCTAGGTTGTCCTTAGTACAAATCCTCGGCCACCCTTGTAAATAGCCAACTGGGTGCCTCTTGCCAGTGGGAGTTTTGAATCCTGTTATGTTACATGTACATTTTGAGTTATTTGTTTCTAAGTATTTGAGTGGACCCGTAAACTAGCTGGATAAGCTAAGTGCACTTTCCACCATAAACAAGCCCTTAACCCTTGAAGCCCCAATATTTACATTGAAATTCTCCACACCGATCTCCATATATTTCCTTGAAAAACTTGTGGAGAGAATTTGATTTAAGATCATAGCTTTTTCACTTAAGTGATGATTTTATTAATTTTTGTAACCCAGTGTCTTGATTACATGTATGTATTAAAAATAGAAAATTGATGTTGGTCACTCTGGGGACTTAAAGGATTAAGATGGAATCCATTAGGAAATTGAGTAATTTCAGTTTTCAAGGGCTATAGATGGGAGGTTCCCAAAGGCCCAAAAATTTAAGAAGACTTACGTTAATGTATGAAGCTTGACTGGAATTTCCAGAGAGGTGGGGGGTCTAAGGAAAAATTCCTTTTTTGGTGGGGGTATGGATAATTTTTGAAACCAAATAGTGTTATTTTTGTTCCCTTCAAATGGCTCCCCTTCCTCTCTCCTTCCTTTATTTGCTAGTTTTTCTGGGCACAGACCTGCCCAATGGAAATAAAAACGGGGGTAAAGACTCTTAGGTCTCAGGTGACCTACCCTCCCCTTTGTACTCATTCTTTAGTTATGGAAAGATAAACATCAGGCCCCGGTTGTTAAACATTGGATAGCACTACCACTGCCCACCGGATGAATTGTCTTCCAGGGAAACCAATTACGCTATCCAGTGGATAGTGCTATCCACTTTTTTAACAACTGGGACCAGGGCTGGGCACTGCTGGAGGCCGAGGTATCTAGTCAGCCATTGAATTGCTTTTTTTTGCTCAACAAGAGTCAGATTGGTTGAAGTGCTTGTTACTGCCTGGGACTGACTGTTTTTATCTTTATCTGAGAAGACCAGAACGTCTAAGCATTTGGGATGTTAGAAAAAGTGGATGAACTCCTCAGTTATTTCTAAGGCCCAGTTAT